TGCTTCCTATGAGGCTACTCACTACTCACACAGAATACAAAGATTAATCTTGGTGCTACAACAGATGGAAAATTCAATAGGAGTGTGTATGTTTGGTGGCATAGCTTCAGGAGCCAAAAGCCACACAGATGCAGTCTGACCTATTGTATTTAGCAAGGCTTAGCAGTAGCTCTGCCATCCCAGAAAACCTCCATTACAATAATAGCTTCAGTAAGCTGTCGCCATATCAGGATTTGGTCTGTTGCTCTGCAGCAGAACGTCTCACTCCTTACCTCCCCCATCCTGTCTCAGTCAGCGAAGACACTAACATCATTCTGAGTTATTCTGAGCTGTTGGGGATCATAAGGCAAATAAGGCAGAAAGACAGCTACAGGGAAAAACACTAGCATCTCTCCTTAATTATGACTTTAAGCAAGTATTTTGTCCTTAACTAAAGAGAAGTTAGTCACAGCAATACAAATACATATTTACAAAATTTTACTCATCCAGATAGATATACGTTTTAATTTTTCATTGATCATTAAAAATAAAATCAACCTATTATAACAAACACTGCAAACCAATTTAAAATTTACATTATTTTGTAACTGAAAACCAAAAAACCCCCTGAAGAAATGGCATCTTGGTGTTGAGTTGGGTTGGGTTGAGGTCTACAAAAGGTTATGGATTTTCTATGTCAGCTACATGTACACTTTGGACTACAAAAGTATCACTGCTGTGTGTCAGTAACAGTCCTCTTTCACTCCATGCTTTAGGCTGGAAAACAAATTGCAAGGAAAAGAAACTAGATTTAACATAGGTTCCTCTATAACAGCGGTCTCGAACTCCAGGCCTCGAGGGCCGGTGTCCTGCAGGTTTTAGATGTGTCCTTGATCCAACACAGCTGATTTAAATGGCTAAATTACCTCCTCAACATGTCTTGAAGTTCTCCAGAGGCCTGGTAATGAACTAATCATTTGAATCAGGTGTGTTGACCCAGGGTGAGATCTAAAATCTGCAGGACACCGGCCCTCGAGGCCTGCAGTTCGAGACCCCTGCTCTATAATGTTCAATGAGCCACTAAAAGCATAAACATCTTGGTCACTACATGATCCTCCTGAAATACACCACACCTTTGTGCCCAGAACCATGTAACTCAAGAGGAACAGAGAACCAGCTATTATCCCCTCTGGTCCTTTACTCTGCTGGATAAAGCAGATTCAGAACCACTCGTGAACCTGATAATTAACTACTGCTAAAAAATATGTTTATCCACATTCTTGGACATAGGCATTAATTATGCATGAGTCTCCAAGTGTGCACAACATTAACATAAAATAATGTCAGCAATTTACACTTCTCATTTTCCCACGAGTGAAAACAGGACAGATTAATGCTGCATCAGACAAAAAGTCGAACCGACTTTAGATTAGCTGTTGTAGTTCACCTGAACCTAAAGCTAAAACGATGCTTAAACTCAATTCAAAACGGAATCTATGGCTATTTTACAACATAGCATATGACAACAAACTCAGTGTAAACCCATTCTCAGGCAGTTCTTAATCTATTGCATCATTTCCAAACAATTATTCATCACTGAGCTCAAATCCACCCACTCAAAATCCTGAAAAACATGCTAAAAATATGTTTTATCAACAAACACCAAACAGTGAGAGCAGATTATGCATTCAGGTCTTAGCTAGAAGGCTGCAGAAAGAAATCAAACAAAAGCTGAAATGTTTGTTGGGAGGAAGCTAGCTCTATAAGGACTGCTCTTCTATGTTCTGCTTTTTTGTGGCTGGATATGGCGAAGACAGGACTGCATTTAGAGGGGAAAAAAGTGATCTGAAGACTCAAACCCCTCCTGAGCTCCTGGAAGTCTCAGGCAATGCAGCTTCCCTGGAGGCTACGCAGAACTCAGCATGCAGGCGGTAATCACAACTTATCAGCATCTCTGCTGCTGTATCATGGGCAGAATACAAAGCAGTGGATCAGAGAGAAACGAATGAAGCAGAGATAGATTTTCTTCTGTTCAGTTCTGAGAAGTTTGTCTTCACCCTAGTCAATTCTCATTTAAATCGTCTCGTAACGCTCAAATGGAGAAGAAGGTACTTCTGGTTTTTTAAATCACCAAGATTTTACTCACCATCAGCTATTGCCACAATAACACATTTTATTCTGTGCCACCATTTGGAGGTCAGTCATAGATTCATTCACATGCACTCTGATGACTGGGTAAAGCTGACTCAAGGGTATCTGCAGTTACTCAAAGGCAGTGGTGCAGCGGTTTGTGGTGTGGTAAAGCCAGTAGGTTAGTAATGTCTGTGGTAATGTGTACAATTTGTCATTAAGATGCCCTCAGGGCAGACCAGGACAGGATCTTCTAACAATCTGATTAGCTTGCTTTCATTTGATAGCAGCAGGCAGCTGGCTCAGAGACTGAGCTAAAAACAGACTAACAGGGGAATAAAGGGGAAGCGGTAGATTGTTTCAGGAGCATCAGAGTACAAAGACTCAGTGTTCACTGGGTGTCATACTACAACAGTCTAAAAAGAACCAAGAATATACGATCAACTACTGTATACACGAAATATTTACTAAATACATAACGTAAAGTATGTGCTGACATGTTCTCAATCAAATAATATCATATTTACTGAAATTATATTGCTTCAGGCAGTATTCATGTGAATCCTGTTAAGAATCAGGTGCAGTTTTTCCACCCTGTGAGCACTGTGTACAACTGTGGGGTTGGTGGTAACGTTGGAAGAAATTGCTGATCCTGGGGACTCCCTCCCCAGGATCAGGCTAACTCATTTTATGTGAAGGGAGGATTTTAGAACAGAGCTGTGTGATCTGCTGTTTCCACCACTTTACAGAATGTCAGCATGTATGTCCTGAACCCAGTGATGAAAGAGAAAAATGCACTGTACACATACATACACTGGACAGAACACACAGATATACAATGACATAGGACACTGACGAGATGTTTTAAAAAAGTGATATTTAAAACCTTTTTTGGCTTCTTGTGTTTACAGCTTGCTGTGAAGTTGATACTATTTACTCTAGGTAGGGTAGGAGCGTGAGCAATTATCTTAGCAAAGAGATACAAACATCAGCAAAGGTATCAGCTTTAAATGGTCATATCAACAAAATCACTGTAATGTAAACATTTACTGTCTTACTTTATCTTCTGAGGGGAATAGTTTTGGCTCTAAATGCTTCATTATACTTGCAAGAGAGCTAATAATGGTGTCTGAGGGCCATGTGGCACTGAGCAGGCATCATAACGCGGGTCCACATGTTGTTAAACTACTGAGACCAAACTAAAATTAAAGATATATGGGGTCCAGAGAGTAATGGTAAATGGCCTGTATTTGTATAGCGCTTTTACTAGTCCCCCCTAGGGACCCCAAAGTGCTTTGCACACCCAGTCATCCACCCATTCACACACTGGTGGAGGCAAGCTACAGTTGTAGCCACAGCTGACTTGGGACAGACTGACAGAAGCGAGGCTGCCATATCGCGCCTGGTGTTGGCCAGAATATGGCCAACACCAGTAGGCGAAGTGTCTTGCCCAAGGACACAACGACCGAGACTGTCCGAGCTGGGGCTCGAACCGGCAACTTTCCGATTACAAGGTAAACTCCCAACTCTTGAACCACGATCGCCCAAGATGTGGCTGTAGGAATTGCCCAATGTGGATCTGTGGACAAGGAATGTCTCAGTTATGGGTAATGACTTCTTCTTTTTTTTTTTTGAATGGAATACTTTTAATTGTGGACAGACCTACTGTCTGCACAAACATGCATGAGGAGACATGGCTGGCCCATAAAATTATGGCTACAGTATAGAAGCAGAAGAGTCAACAGTGAGGTAATGAACCTAGCAGAATGAAGCCTGGTTACAACCGTTTATTGTCTTGAGTGGAAGAAGCACAGACAATTGAGTAATATAACTGGGTGTTCAATGCAGCGTCACCTATTCACATTGTAACATTATGTACACACCCCCAGAACAAAAAGCTATACAATAAATCAGTATTGCACTAAACAGTGTTTGCATCTTGCTCCATTTCCACAATGTCAGTGTTTTTTCAGTGTACTGGTAAGCCCTATTGCGACTTAAGAAATGATATTGCTTCTTTTCTTCAAATTTTCATGTGAATATTGTGTATGTCTGTGTTGTTATACAGTGCTTTCTAATAAATGATTAAGATGTTTGATCTCGCACGACTGAGCGAATACAGATTTTGACTCGATTAATAACAGGGACACAGGGCCCGATGGGCGTCGTCACCACCTCACACACACACACCGTCACCGCCTCTGCTCTTCGTGTTGCTGCCATTTCACAGATCGGGAGGGCTGACACACACACACACACACACACACACACACACACACGACGCACACACACACACACGCGCACAGACACACACGCACACCACACACCACACACACACACACACACACACACACGCACACACACCATGAAACTTTACCAAAAAAGAAAATGAAGTGGTCTCTGACAACTCTATCAACATATAAAAAGAAATATTCTAAATACTTTTGGCATCTTCAGTTTAATAATTTAGGACTGAGTTAGGAGGAATATGTATTGAACAAAGAATTTCACAGTTGAGGAATAAACCTGTTGATGTAACTGCTAAATAAACTCAAAGAAAACATTTCACATTTCTGTATGGCAATTCCTTCTTTTTTATAGCCTAGGCTACATGAATACTTGAAAAACTTAAAAGTGATCTGTTTGCCTACACACATCTTCTCCTTCTGCCTCTACGAGCACCTGCACACACACTTATGCCTCTCCCTGTCTTCACTCTTTTTTCCAAACCACGGATACACACAAATCATCTTTTCCTCCTCCTCGTCCTCCTCCTTCTCCTCCCATTCATGCCTTCTCTCCCTTTCCTCCTCCCTTTTCCTGCCCTCTTGCCTTCTAACATTTCTCCTCCCCCCCCCTCTCTCTCTCCCTTCTCCTCACACCCCTCCTACCGTTTGGACTGCAGCAGTTTCTCCTCTGCCTCCTGTCTTTCTCTCAGCAGCGTCTGCAGGTGAAGGATCTCCGTCTGGTAAGACACTGTCCTTCCCTCCACCGCCTCCTCCAACGCTGCCAGTCTGGTTGACGCCTGGCTCCGGTACACCTGCACATACACATTAGCAGCACACAGACACGGAGGAATGAGATGTGGAGTGTTGCTATGAGAGGGGTGGATTTACATGAAGGACAGCGCAGCAGAGACAAGTGGAGTGGAGGAGGGGGAGTCTCACACACTGGGACAAGGTGAGAAACAACAACAACAGCACACAAACACAAACATGCACACACACAGATCAGTAGATTTTGTGGAAAGGATGGTGTGACTCCCTCTGTATTTCTTCTGCATGTGGTGTTTATTTGTCTGGTGGGCGTGTACTTGTCTTTGTGTCTGTGTATGTCTGTGTCCAGGAAATAGCAGTTTGTTATAAAGTTATACTTCAGTCATTGTGTCTACAGATGAGCAGCTGTTAGGCTGCTGACAGTTCATAACAACTGCTCGTAGTGCAGCACACACACACACTTCTACAAGTGGAAACAGGTGAGGTTTTTTTTTTTTTTTTTACCTTGCCCTGCTTTACTTCTGATAAAGTCAAGTAACAATCTACAAAAACTAGACTATAAGAAAAACTGTGTGGCAGAGAAAAATACAGATGCACAAAAAGACACAATGACAGTAGCTATAACACATGCTGCTGTTCTGGGCACTGCAGTCAGAGACAACTTAGAACTGAGGAAAACAAGGTCTGAATAAGGACAGATAGTGTGTGTGTGGGGGTAGTAGCCATCTCTCAGCCTGTGTATTTGTGTGCGTGTGCAGTGGGAAAATTACAATGTCTGCCTCGGAAAGAGTAAAACGAACATGCTTTTTTTTACTCTTTTACTTTAAGGATTAATTGCTTACTAAATAACTGGCTTCCCTGTATTTTATTATACGACATTCTTCATTCTGTTTGAATACTGACGATGGATTTGATGCTCGTTTTTCTATCCACAAGGCTATGTCCCTAAGCTTTACACCGTTTCCTTTCAAATCTAGCAATTACGATACCCGATTAGAAGACTGTTGGGTTATAATTATCCAAACATGAGGTATTCACCCAAATCATGTTTTGACCCTAACTGCTCCTGGTTATTGTAGACTGAGGCAGAAGTGAAAACTCCTTCAAATAAAGCCTCTCTTCAAATATTTTCAGAGAAGCAACACCAGGTGTTAAATGCTTTTTCCTTAGGCTAACTGTGGTCTTGTCACAGCAAAAGGATGAATGAACCACCTGTTAAATAAGTGTTGGAATTACATGGACAGCTTTGCTTCCTCTGTGACCTCAAAACAATAATTTCTATAATGTTATATGCATGTGGCATACAGTTTTATCATTTCCAAGAAATTTAAAATGAGAAACGATTTTTTGCTCCAGCTAAAAAATGTCCTGACAGATAAATAGGTGAAGCAATGTGATTCTTTTTTATTAAATGTGACTAATAATCCCTCTATTTATTTTAACCAATTATGAGTTCATACTACATTATGACCAGAGCTTAAATCTGTGACAAAACAAACAAGAAATTAAGATAAAATTAACAGAAATCAACAGCTTGTTGTGACATGATTATTGGCCGTGTTAATTATGTACCTATAACACATATGTGAACTAGTACTATACCTTATCATACTGCCTGTGATAATTCCAATATTGATTTTTATTTGGCATATAGTGTCATATCACAACATCAGTGATAAAGTGATGCTATGCATTTCCATTTGCTAGCATATACAACAACGATTCAAGCCCAGACATGTCTGAGAACGAGGGCAGCGTGTCAGCCTCCAGTTACCACCAACAAAGCACAGTACTTTGCAAAATATGCAAGAAAACTATTTTCTCTAAAAGTGGAAATAAAAAACATGTTTCACTGTTTATTGATGTGGTTACACGGTGTGAAAGTAGAGCTTTAAGCAGCTGGTTAAATGCTTGAACCAACAAGATACAGCATTGTGAGCACAAGATAGGATTCAATTTCAAGATTCAATTTCATTTTTTTTTTATATGACACAGTGGTGCAGGCTCTTTCAAAGCAAATCACTACCTAGGCTACCTTGTGCCTACATTTGACTTGCACTCTGTTAGATGTCAAATGTGTAATATTATGCCGCCACTATTTCACTATAATTCCGGGTGGAAATAAATTCAGACTTTGAATTAAGTAGTCTGCCATTAGTGACAGACTACTACTACGGAAAACAAAGCCCTTTGTTTTGTTTGCACTAAGAAACGCTGCTGCCTGTGAGCTGCACACATCGATGTAACATTGTTCAGTATTTATTTTTTCATTTATTTATGATATTATCATCGATAATATTGGGACATAATTTCAAGGCTATATTGTCTACTCCTAAAGTGCCCATTATAGCAGTTGCATGCCAACAGTAACATCACCATAGCTCTGTACCATTTATACCAGCAACATACAAGAAAATGAAAACCTTCAATAGCATATTATATGTATAGAAAAATGTATACATATATAACATTATCTTGAACATGAACTGAAATAATTCCCTGCATCAGAGTTAACATGACATATACATATATTTTTCATGTTTACAAAAAAGATTAATTATCCAGCATACACATTTCTAGAAATGGACATTCTATTTAGTTTTATGGATGTACACTGGCAACATTAAACCAAATATAAGCTTTTATATTTTCTCTGATCATACAGTTGACACAATTCTCATCAGAAGTCTGTCATACTATACTGCTAGTAGAACCAAAATATATATCTTTTGATTTAAAACTTGAATCTTAGGACAAATCGTGACTTATTTAATTGAAGACATTTTTGCCTTACCGAGATAAACATGTTATAATCCATCCAGCCAGCCAGCCGTTTTCTTCAGCGATTCCAATTCAGGGTTGTTATAAAACCAAATCTAAATCATTTTTGGTTTTCTTATTAAGATTGGTTCACTATGATAAGTCAGCCATAATTACACTGTGACAACAATAATCATTTATTGTGGGATACCAGCCTTGGTGTTTCAATGCGAGACAGTTATGTTCAGATGACAGCAACTCTTGCACATTAAATATTTGCACTTTTGGGTTCATTTTTCTCTTTGGCATGCACACAATGGTAGTTTTAAGGAATCCATATATTTAGTGCATTATCTGCAGAGCAACTCTAAAGATTCACAGGTGTTTTTCACTCAAACAGCTTCAATGTATCTGTTAGCCTTGTTATCTGCAAGATGCACTGAAAAGGCTGCTCTGATTCTATAAAGGTGTGTATACAAGAGGCCACAGATTGCAAATAACGTGATAGCAGGACAGAGAACATGCTGCAAGAAATGTATCTGACTAATTAAACGTAGGACCAGTTTTATTTACTAACACCTTATAAGCAAAGAGAGTGAGTTTTAAGTGCAGTCTATGTGTGTGGCTGTGATTGTGTTTTTTGTAATAGCAAGAGAAAGAAAAAGAACAATGTAAGAATGACTAACAGTGCTATGGAATATACAACCACAGAGATGAAGCATAATTAATAATAACAATCTAAATGTAGCTAAAACAAAATAAATGAAGATTATTACATATGTGTAGCCTGTCTGTTCAATTTTACACAGGCTTCACCTGTAATATAACCATAGGCCACATCTCCCACTTAATCCAACAAAGGTGACTGCTCTCTGGAGGAGAACATCTATGTGGTTATTAGGGGGTAGCATATGTCACCATCCACCACCCTGTAGTTGTGTGATGTATTTAATGCTTTGACAAAGGGACAGCCTGTTTTGCTTTACTTCTCATGGACCAGGAATGACAAATTTAAAAAAAAAAAAAAAAAAAAAATAGGATTCTTCTCTTAATGTCTTGAAAACCACACAGAACCTAATTAAACCCCAATGAAAAACAACCAATAAACGAGCTGACTTAAGATGCATTGACTAAAACTGTCATTATGTCCTAAGACAACCAAAATAAATAACATAACACCATTTTTAATGCATTCGTGTATTGGTCTTAGTTTATAAAAGAAAATAGAAAAACAAAGGAGTGGAGTCCACGGGGTATAATAGTGCACACTCAGAGAGAAGTCAAACACATGCAAACATGTTTGATAAAAAGCAGAACATGCCAGAAATATTCAAGATGTATTTAACAAATGTTGAAAGCACAAAAGCAGCAGGGCACCGACCTTCACTCAGCAGGGTGGCTCCAAAGCCCCACCTGACAAGCAGAATCTAAATATTAATCTGAAACTTATCTGACTCCTGTCTTGCCTCCTCACATGCTGGCCGCTTAACCATTTAGGAGTCTCAGCCTTGAATATGGCCTCTGTCTCTGCCCAGCTGGCATGCTAATTCCCAGCTGAGCTCAGTGATGAATGGAATCGGTATTATATGTTGTCAAATCAAAATGTCTCCAACTCTCCAGGGAGTCAGCCATCAGCCCAGCTGAACTGGTGACATTTAGCCCTCACAACAAGCTGAGCTGAGCAACACAAAGCCAATATAGCCCCCATTCTAGCTGTATCCCAGGGGCTGCTGACCTTCTCCACACAGTAACAACAAAAATACAAAATAAATCCAGTATATTTTCTTCACATAAGTATGATTTAAGACAGATTAGAGTTGGAGTAAGGGTGGTTTGGGCTAGCAAATGATTTATTTTATTACCATTTTGACATTGAGAAAGAAATGGATTAACTCCTGAAAATCTCAAAAGAATGTATTAATTGAAAGCATGGTATAAAGAGCTCTACTCTGCAGAAGGACTTTTGCATAACAATACTTTAACTCCACATTAAATTACAACAAACAGCCCCAACATGAATATGAATTACATCAACTGTTATTGTAACCTGGTGTGTAAGATCAGATCGCTGACTGTCCACTTTAATCAGTCTAATAACATGTTGTCGGGTCAATGTGGTCAGGTGTTCTTCCATTTTGAAATAACCTATTTTGCTGCTGAGTCAGGAGCGCATCCCATATAGCTGGATACTGCTGATCAGCATGACCAATGGACAGTCAGACATTTCCCGCAGGAGATGGTCACAGAGGGGTTGAAGGAATAGCACAATGATCATGGAGCACATTGTGCAGAATGCAGAGAACGAGATTCGATTTGCTATCACTCTGAGCCTTGTTTGCAAGCTAGACTACTTCTACTTTCTGTAAGAAGAGGACAGAAGCTGCTGTTAAATGGTGTGCTTAGCGATCATGCTTGAAATTACTA